CCTGCATTGTACACAACGCGTCTTTGTGGAATTATTTACTCCTTCAAGCATTTCCCTCCATATACACATTGGTCTTTTTATCAATTCAGCATACCATTTTTTGAAAGCCTGGGAAAAATCTCCGAATGAATGACTTAAAAATATAAGAGGTACATGTATTTTTTACGTTTCTTTGTAAAGAAAAGGTTGCACGTTATACGGCGAAATATACGGTAAATAAACAAAAATGATATCGTAGAGAGCTCAAATAGCCAAAAGCTCAAAAAGTCTAAGAAAAAGCATTACGAAATAAACAAATAAATAAAAGTGTTGGAGAAAAAGTGCTGTTAAAGAAAATAACGTAATTCTTCTTATTCCAAAGGATTACGTGTACTTATTTCCTTATCAGAATTAATATGTAATACATATATTCATTTTATTAATATATAGTAAGCAAACCTATTCTTTTCATAGATATAACTTTCCTATCAGACGCAATTAAGGAAATCATTAAAATGTTTGATAATAGAACTAAAATATAAGTCCTTCAGATTTCAAGGAAATTATACTTTTTGACTCTTTATTACTGCTGCCCGTATTTTCTTCTTAATTACATATTCATTATATAAAGAATGACCTGCTGTGTCGATGAAGGTCGTATACGAAATGGAGTTATTATAACACAGCTGACAGCTTAAATGAATCGAAATTGACAAACGTCCAGAATAAACACTGCAATCCGAAGAGCCCTGAATAACATAACGAGGATCACATTATGAAGTTTCACAGCCATTGCATGCAATAGAAAAGATAACAAAGTTTGTATAATGGGACCTTGAAAAAAGAGAGACTGGAAAGAGAAAATGATAAAAATTTAGAGAAAATTTCAAAGCTACATAAGCAAGTAATCAGTGGCTATAATATATGTGACTTAAAAAGTAGCAACAGGTGTCAAAACAGATACTATTAAAAACATAAAGCAAAAATAAATCAACAAAATTTATGATTTTACTGCAACTATGAAATGTACAGCTAACTAGCTTTTCTAAAAACCTTTTATTTGGCTATTTCTTGATGTTATTTCGCATCGTAGCAATTTATATTATAAGATACTTCCCCCTCCTTCTTAGCATGCATTCGTAGTGTAGTGGTCAGCACGAGTAAGTCGAGTCCCAGTAAGGGCACTGCTAATTTCTCATCTTTCCTGCTTTCAAAATAATCTCAACATTAGCGCCCGAACAGGGACTCGAACCACGGACCTCTCGAATACATGCCGAATGTGCTGAAAACTACACTACGAAGACGGGAGAAATACCTTATATACTCCCCCTTTTAAAGAGCGACTTGGGATTAAGTGACCCAATCGCCAAATCCTGGTGATGGAGAATCATCATCCACCACCGTTTTAGTTCGAGCGCCACTGTAGATTTATTAAGTTATTTAGAAGCAGGAGATGAAAAAAATGAGCAATGCCCTCGCCGGGAATCGAACTACGGACCTCTCGACTACGCGTCAAGCGTGCTGACCACTACACTACGAAGGCATGCTAAGAAGGCGGAGGAATACCTTATAATAAAAAGTCGATTTTCTACATCGTACACGAGACACCAGAGCATTACAGAGACTGTTCGCACATTTTTAGACGATTTTCATTGCATTTACAGAAATATTTTACATAAATTTTTTGTATTTTAAATGTTTCATTTGATAACTTTTATTCTTCACTATTTTTTTACATCGTAATTTCTAAGATAATAAAGCCCTTTTCAGTATTAAAAAAGATATTTTATCCCATATCTCTTGAAAAACTTTCCAAAGTCCAAATAAGGTTGTAGATCGATGCTTGGACAATTCGCTTTTTAAAAGTTCAAAAGCGCAAAATCCCGTGGATGATACATTAGAAGATTTAGCGGGGATATGAGTGAAGGGTTATAATCTTGACACCTGTTTCTTGTTCCGTCCGTATAATAATATTGAGATTATTCCGGAAATTAACAGTGGATTTTGACGTATCACTGTTTGCTTTGTCTTGATGCAGTTCTACTGATTGATGGCACTGTGAGTAAAGACTTGAAAGTTGTATATAAAATATGTTCTTGATGATATGTGGAGTTGACCTTAACAGTTTTATGCACTGTCTTTAATTTTTATTTGTCGTTATGTCAAAAACACATAACCTTTGTAAAACTTACTTTAGATTCTTTGAGCCATGTTCTAAGATTTTTTATATTTCTCCTTGATGATAATAAATGTATCTTTTTTAATTGCAGTCATTTAAATATACCCGAGATTCATCTATTGTCACAACCTTTTTTCCATTTTTGCTCAAATAATTGTTTCTCATAGAGAATTCTGCAGCGCATTCTGCTTTCGGGGATATGTCGTGGCGAAAGACGATGCACACTACGTCTTTTCGAATTTTTAAGATTCAAATCAGCATTAATCGCTTTGTTTACAGTTAACACTGATTCAACTGTCCTTTGACTTCGCGGATTTTCTTTTAACATTAAAGTTCTTACCTTTGCAACTTTCGAAACATTCCGTTTTTTCCTTGCATATGTATTTTGAACAATTTTTCTCCTTGAAGCCAAACGCTGACATTTTTTTTCCTTTCTTATTGACAATATTATCTTTGCTTTAGATAGCAAAAACCATGGCTTTCACAGCGGTTTTTTGAGAACTAAACACGAATAATTTTCCTCGGAAAGAGTACAAACATAGCTTTGTTCATTGCTTCTTTAAAAGTGCCATTTTGCATTAAAACAAAATTGTTAAGTAGCAGACGATAATTTACACTTTGGAAAATATAGTTGCAGTTAAAAAAGTTTTTTCCAAGCAAGTGATATTTTCTAATAGCAAAGCAAAATCGTGTAAAAAATGTGCAAACAGTCTCTGCTACTTGCTACACATATACCACGTGACTCATGTTTCAGGTATTTGTCTATCATTGGAAGTCAAATTACTTTCAAAATTCTAAATATGATTTCACAGCATAAGCTGCGAAACCTTTCAAGACCGATGAATATGCCTAAATGTTTTGAAAAACCAAAAAACATTTATGAATCAAAATATTGTATAATTTCTGATGAAATTGCTGATACTAAAAAAATAATTTGAATCGTATTGTTATAAAAGATTTTAATTTTCATTCATAAAGCTGCGAATGTACGTTAGTGGCATCGGGACCAAATATTTGCAAATAAAGTGAAGTTGGATTATTTGCTTCGATACTTATTTCCTAAGCTCAGGTAGATTTATTTAATTTTTACTACTCAATTCCAAAGAGAAATATAATCAATAGCTCTGAATTTATATAATCTACATTTACAGTGATGTTTACAAGTACAAAACAAGTTTAAGAATAGTGAAATCGCGAAGGAAACGATTGTATTCCGTAATTATTGAAAATATATATATATATATATATATTTCGTAGAGATTTTAAATTAAACACTTTTTATTTGAATTTAGCTATTTGTTTTTATTGTTCTGTTTAATTAACACCTTTTAAAAACGCATTTGCAGATTTCGCATCCTGAGAAAATAGAAATTCTACATTTTTTCTCAATTTTAGGTTAAATTTTTATTACCGTTTAATTTAAAATTATTTCGAATCATTCTTGCACTTACTTTTGCGAGTGATGGAAAAGGCTTCTGATCTAATCGAATTTGATAGAGGGCAGATTATAATGGCCCGAAGACTCGGAACGAGTATCTCCAGAACTGTACGACTGGTAGGTTGTTTACGATATGCAGTTGTTGGTATTTACGCGAAGTGAAAAAATGACCGTGAAACCAGCAGTAGACGCCAAGATGTTGGACGTCCACGCGCCATCAAAGAAAAAAGATACTGGAGACTATCCTGCTTAGTACAGCATAACCTGCGCTAGACAGTGGCTCAGCTAACAGCCTAATACAGTGCAGGCCCAAGTGCAAATGTTTCGGAACACACAGTTCAACGGACGTTGTTGCATATGGGATTGCGCAGCAGATGACCCTCTTGCTTGCCTGTACCAATCAAGCGTCATCGTCAACTATGCCTACAGAGGGACAGGCAACATCCACACTGGGTCACGGCTAAGTGGAAGACATTTGTCTGGTCGGATAAATCACGATTTTTCATTAATCCCGTTGATGGTTACGTCGATCGTTGTGATAGGTACGCCGTCTTCTGGACGAACAATTGCTCTCCCTCTTCTGTACAGCAGGCTGGTGATGGGGGTATTATGCTTTGAAGGATGTTGTCATGGGCAGCTCTGGGACCCTTAGTTGTAGTAGAACAGGCCATGAAAGCTGCGGACTATCTGAACATAACTGCAGATCATTTGCCCCGTCACATGACCACTGTCTTCTCAACTGGAAATGGAATCTTTCAGCAGAATAGTGTCCCATATCCCAAGGCTCGAACTGCGTTTGAGTGGTTCGTGGAGTCTAAGGATGAATTCCAATTTCAATGTTCTGGCCACTCCTGATCTGCCGCCGGATCTTAAACCGAGCACATTTCTGAAGTCATGGAGCGGCAGCTCAAACGCCACAATGTCAGAATATCTCGCCTTTGTGTGACCGATGCTTAGATATCTGGTACATCCTGTCTCCAATCAAGAACGTGTGGCATCCAATCAAGAACGAGTTGCAGCTGTTTTGCAGGCCAAAGATCGCCCAACGCGTTACTGAGTAAGTGGTCATAATGATTTTGCTCTTCAGTGTGTATACATTTAGTCTCACAATAAAGAATAACTACATTAATTAGAATTAAATAAGATTATCTGCTGATTGAGTACAAGATATCTCCGAAATACATTATAACATTTTGTAAAAAAGTATATTTTGTTAAGCATGAATTTGAATATTTTGCACTGAAGTTAAAAATTCTATATGCTGCGTATACGACAATTCTGCATAATCGCTGAAAAGGCACACATGTTATTCTATACATGCATATATTAGACTTACGTACACAAAATTTTAATTGGAATCATAGCACACAAATAATTAGCATTATAACAGACTTTTCTACTTACGGGCCAATGATTTAGGCATAGTTGGGACGCAAATAAACGAGTGCAAGTTCCTCTTCTCGGCGTACCCACTGAGAGCCATGCATCCTCCGAAAAATGTCACGTGATAGATGTACGTGAACAATACAGCCATGGCAGTATATATACAGAAAATTCGAACACAGGGGAATGGTGTGATTACTCCGATCCAGAAGGATATAAAATTTGTGAGTGATGTGATGGTAATAGACACACCAGCGTCTGCATACGTGTGAGCCATTCTTTCAGGAACACTCAGTCTGTCGTCAGTTCTTCTCCAGGCAGCCAGTAAAACGAAAGTGTCATCCATTCCAATACCTGTAAGAAAACAAGTTACGTAAGCTAACTTTTTAATGAACAGTTTTAATGTGTAAGATTTCAGTAAAATAGAATATCGTCTTTTATTAATTTATTTTGAATTTTTATTACTTATAATAGAGCAGAATTTTCTTTCAGTTTTATAGAAAGTTTAATGCAAAATAGCACAAAACAGGAATTCCCAACCGGTGGGAAATTTTATCCTTTCATCAAGGTGTTAATTTTATTCTTAAAGTAGAACTCAATTTCAGATTGGTAGATGCAGGCTGTAACAAAAACTTCCCAGCAGGTTCTTGTATATTAACAAACATTTAAACTAATACCCATTTATTAAAGATAATAAAGCTTAAATTTATACGCACAGTAAATATAAAAATTCTTTCTCAATAATATATATATATATTATATATATATATATATATATATAATGAATTATTTCAAATTTAGAAAAAATCATAATATATACTATATATTATGAATTTTAAAAATCTGAAAATTTCATATTACGGTTTAACACTTCGAATTGCGTATTAAAAAAGTTGAAATATTAAAAATCATACAATTGAAAAAAGACTGTTATTTTATTGAACCGCTTGCGAAGTAAATTTGCAGCAAATATTTCCCTCAAGTGGCAGTGCTTTCTATTCTTATAATAAGCGAAGCAAACAAAATCAGAAAACTTTAGGAAGTAGAGTATCACAGTAATGAGAAAATTAATTATTGAAAATTAATTATTAATTATTAAATTAATATATTGGCAATGAAGATTCCCGAACCCCTCGTGTGGGAGGAATACAATAAGCAGAATTTTGCTTTTATATATAACTGATTCATATTTTACACTTACAATTTAGAATAGTGATGGGAAATCATACTGTTATTAATATTTCCTTGGACTGTTATATTGTCCGTTACAAATATTGATCAGAAATTATGACCAATCAATTTATCTTTTATATGTGATGCTAAAAGTGCAACGAAGAAAATCGTGTAAAAATAATTTTATCTGTATAAAATTTTGTACTAGGTATTATTCATATTAATTGTGCGATAAATAAAATAAGCTCTAATATCTGTGAACATTGTCGTCCGCATCAAAATTGAAAGTAAAGATGAAAAACGCTACTGTACTTTTAAATTTTCTTATTTTCAAACAATAACGCTTTTATTATGTACTCGCAATTATCTATATATGCATTTTTATAGTCAAAACCGAAATTCAAAAACAAATGTAGGAGCTTTCAAAATTAAAAATTCTTTCTTGGGTTGATTTTCAACTTTAGACTTAAACTTGTTTAGCAATAAAGATTTAGTTTTATTAGTTTGTATGCATTATTTTTATTTGTTGAATGATAAAATCATTTCTTAGGTGTTAGATGTAATTTGAAGTTTTCAGACTGCAAGGTCTTTTAATCGTCTTTGTAATCAGATAATTCTTTATTATCTGTATTACAAAGATAATAAACAATTCGTATTAGGTACGGAAATTATAGTATCATATATGTATATGTTAAGAAATTCCGACGTTAATTAAAGATACGTCTCATAAAATTCATTAGCATTTGAATCGTAATAACCAATAACCTGTGATACTTGGTTAAATTTCCTTCTAATTTTACCTCGCTGCAGTAAATAACAGAAGACAGTCGCATTAAATTACTTCATTTATTCCTTAATTCTTTCCTTCATTTCTTTAATTTTTTACATCATTTATTTCTTGAATTATGGCATACACTAGGCTTTCTTAAACGTTTTTCAGTCGCAACCCCTTTTTATCATTGAGATTTTTTCGAGATCCCCAGGATACCATAATATTTACAAAAATTTTGTGGGACCCCATAAGTATTGCGCAAATCCGATACATGCGTGAGTGAAACTGTCAATTTTTTCACTTGTACTGTAATATACTATTGCAGTTTTAGGTCATTAACTTTAATTTCTAATTTTAAGACAGAGCAATGTGAAAATTTAAAATGGTAACTGACGAAATGACAGCGTCACGTAGAAAGCATGGAAAATGAACTTTTATATTATAAAAACAATGCGTCGAAACGTTTTCGTTTTTTTCTTTTTCTGTATTGTGTTATTTTTATCTATTTTCAGATACATTGTGTAAAAATATTGGGTAATTGTAAAATTATTATAATAAGTTAAAGAAATACCGAAACTGCTAAAACTTTTAGCGAACCCCTTGGGGGTCGCGATCCACAGTTTAATAAACCCTGGATACACAATCGGTTTTTAGCTGATTTAATCCATTCAATCATTCCAAGTACAAAATAAATAAATAAAATAAATTCTTAAAATATTAATAACTTTTATGCAAAACTGATCTTCTTTTTTGAAAATACTTTTTATTTAATAATTACTCAAATTTTTAAACATAATTCAAAGAAATACCGTGGAAAAAGAAAGTAAGTGCATAATTATTTCACAAAAATACTCCTAGATGGCAGCACCAGACGCAGCAAAAGAATGGTAGAACATGATACGGGATTGAAATTGCAAAGCAAGTGCTGATCTTTGTTTAAAGCTGATGCGCAGCTCTTTATCAGTTCTTTTTCATACATAATTGTCTTTTTGACGACATAACAGTGAATAATAAAATCATCAAATCTCCGCAAAATTATCCAGCTACTGAGATTAGCAATTTTTGTTTGATTGCAAGCTCGATTTAACTGCTTTTATAATTACATATAAATACGACTTTACATGGTTTTCTTTTGTAAAATTTACTTTTCTGACCAAAGTAAAAAAAGGCAAACATTGCAACAGAAATTAGCCCAGAATTCCAATCACTTGCAAAACAAATACTTTAGTTATTGTATATCCGCATGCTCATAGTATATATATACAAATATCTCATACAAACACAGAAGCATCCGCATGCTCATATTGAAAATATGTATAATCATTTAGAAGAGAAAACTGAGATACTTAAAATTACGGCCGGATTGAGTAATTTAAAGTTTTGGTTCCCAAATTTGAAATCATTATTAGCTGAAGCGTTATTAAGTATCTGTGTCAGGAGAGTTATGCAATAATCGCTTGATATGGATTAATTTTGAAATGGCGCAGTTTAGGGAGATTTATTATAACCAGTTACTGTACAGACAAAGAAAGGCGAAATAACTAAATTAAAGAATAGACAGCCAAAGGACTATCATAAAAAGCTAATAATTTTAGTTTATCTTAATATCTTATATTACATATATATTACATTTATGTCTTATATTTTTATCCTGTATAAATATAAGACTGAAAAATTCTGCAGTTTAATAAAATTTCCAATATATTAGTGACTGATAATAATGCAAATTTTCCACCTAATTACACATTCATAGCATAATTTCATTATATATATATAGAGAGAGAGAGTATTCGTATATTCATATTGAATACACCGCTTTAATCTCATAAAAATTTTTAAATCTATAAAAGTTACGAATTTGAAAATTATATTAGTACAATAAAATGACTCAATAATATTTTACTGAATATTCCGATAATACTACTTAAATTTATATTTTGCTGTTTTAAAACAGAATGTATCAAAACAAAATTTTTGAGGTGCAGTACTATGCAGCAGTGGTTACCAAAATGTATGTCGCGAAAAATTTTTAAATTTTTTTGCTTGTTATTTCATACTACACATTTATTTACCACTATTAATTAATTAATATAGGATTATCCCAAACCCGGTTGAAACAGTTTAAAGCTCGTAATAAGTAAACTGGACAACCAATAATAACTTTTATTATACTGAAACAGAAGCAAACTCATTACTAATTCTTTTACATATTATTACATAAAAGTTCAAAATTTCTAGTACGATATTACGGCAGACATCTATGCGTCATTGGCCGGATTTACTTATATTGGAAGAAAGCTGACTGATAGACACCACAGTTGCTGAAACAAAGTTGATCAACACTTTCAAGGCTCCTTACTACATAGACCATTATCGGGAGCTTTTGCGAAACTATTTCTATCAAAATTTTTAGCAAAGACAGACACCATTTGTAAAAACATCTCAAATGTAGTTAACGTCTAAGATGCACAGGACTTATAAAATGACGAATTCGGGCAGTGTCACCGAACTCTTCGGATTTAATTCTATGTGACTTTTTCTTGAACATGGTAGTTACGATTACTGTTTTTTCGTACTCGCTTCTCGCTAATCTCCAGGATCTTCGCAACCGCAATCACCACTGTGGTGTTTCTGCATGCCAGACGAAACGAATTATCGCATAGATGTCTACCTTTCTGTAAACACTGAACCTTTCAGCTGGAAACACTGTCCATTTGTAAAACATGTAAAAAAGTTTTTGGAAAGTAAACATTTGCAAAACATGTAAAACGGTTTTCGGAAATGAAGAAGTTTTTTCCAGTATAGTAAAATTTGGTACTGGTTGCATACTTTATTTGTTATCAATTTTAGAAATACTTAATAAAATTATGAGTAACACTATTTTGCTTTATGCATTACTTTTGCATACTTTCCCTTTATTGATTTTTGCAGAAGCATATTCAACCAAAAGGCGATAAAGTATGTGGAAATGTGAGTTTGGGAAACGCTCAAGTAGAACCATACATGAAATCGAAAAAACGAAATTTGAATGCTAATTTTCGTTTTCCTGCTTTTGCTCGCTGCGGGCTATATGTAGATGCACGTTTGAGGTCGTTTAGGAGTTAGCACCAATAGAAATGCGATTCGGAAGTCCACTTGCGCCAAAAAAGAGGCCAAGGTCGACATCGTATTTTGCCAAGGCCCCTTTCCGTATGGTCTGCTTCCTCTTTCCTTACCAGTCATTTATCTTACTCTCTCTTTTCTCTTTGTTTAATTTTTCGTAGACCAGTTCATAGAACTAACCAAGCGAAGAAAGTTGCTCGCAAGAGAAGTATGTTTCGCACTGTATTTATTTAGAAGGAAAAAAATGGATTCAATTTTACTCTGGCTAGTATTTTTTTTTTTTTTTTTTTAATCTTACAAGAAAACA